AGTGTTTTGGGCAGCAAAACAGGGCTCGATGATGACGTCCATTGCGCGGAGTCGAACAGGATCAGCTAGCTTTCCTTCTGATTGTGTGACGAGAAGATCCAGCAGGAATAGGAGTGGGGACGATCGGGTGCCCTGGTGCCGTGATCGATGTGATGGTGTCGATGCGACTTCGATCTCGTTGTCGGCGTTACGTGTGAGACACTTATCGGCGAACTGGAAAGCGCCCATCTTCTGCACGACAGTCTCTATCAGGAAGCAGAACTTGGTTGCCCACAGATCCTCCCTCTTCTGTTCTACGGCAATGTTGTCCGTGTGGCTGTCCCAGATCCGACGCAGCAGGTTGATGATATGTGCCATGGCATCTTTGGTTTCTGTGGACGCCATGATCTCCTTGCTGCTTGCTTCCACCAAAGAGTTGATGACTGCCGTCCACATCGTCTGAAACGGTTCGTCTTCGTGCTCTTTGCTTTCGGTCTTGAGTGCGGCCTCTAGAATATTCTCCACAAACTCTAGTACAAGAGCAATCGACTTCCGTACCCACTTGGGATCGACCAGAGGTAGCTCCCCTCGCTGGATCATGAAATTTGGCCGGAGATCTAGCGCCCGATTCTCGTTCCAAGGTTTCCGAGAGCCATCCAAGAGAGCAGACACAATTCGGCATGGTATAGCGTGCTGCGGAGCAGACTTTGCGATTATTGGACTCCAGAGGCCAGCTATGAAGTCAGTCCAATGTCCGTCAAATTGTTCGAAAGAGGCTGCTGGTCGAAAGGCATAATACAGCATTGTGAAGTATGCGGATGAAACAGCATCGCGCTCGGCTTTCTTTACTGGGGTCTTCCGTTGCAGTGCATGTACTGAGATTTTGACGAACATCCCCGACCAGGCTTTGACTTTCTTTTCTTCGGGTAGGTTCATAAAGTTGACAGAGTAGGCCAGGAAGGCAACGGCGACATTGGAGTATAATCGGACTTGGTCGTTGTCCGATGACAGGCACTTGTTGATAAGGACCAGCCAATCCTTCAAGCCTGCAAACGCGTCAAGCGAGTCTTTGAGTAGACCCGTGACAGCAGCCACGATCTGTGGCACCAAGACGGCGTAATCACCACCGAGCATACGATCCAGTTCAGCTGCGAAAACGCTAGCAATGGTGCCTCCGTCGCTCTTCACCCGGTTCAGGACAGACAAGACGGATTTGGCGACATGTCGGTCATGGCCAATGGTCTTTGCAGCCGTTACAGCAGTATCTAGCGCGCTTTGACTGATGTCCTTCTGAACCGAAACCAGAGCTTTGAGAGTATGCGTGAACCATCGTTCGGTATGCCTGATCATAACGTCCGGGCGTTGCTGGAGCAGCTTCCTGTATATCCGGACCCTATATGCCTGTACCGCGTGGCCCGATGTTCGCTCGTGGATGGTGTCTAGCGCCTCGAGCACCTTCTCGACGCGTGTCGCAGTCATGGTCTTCGGCCGGAAACTTTGCTGCATCAGGACAGCCAAGTGTGTGTTGACGGTGGTCTTGGGCATGGAGCTATCGGAAGCTACGCGGATGATGCGGTCTATGATGAAGGAGCAGAAGTCTTCGTCCATGGCGGATATCAGGTCGGTGATGCGGAAGAGGGCCATGAGCAGCTTCATCGCCTGTCCAATGAGCTGTGAGTCCAGCCCTGTCCCCCCCAAACCTGGCGCCGTTATGTCGCGCCGTATGAACTGGGTCAGCAGAGACATCTTCTGCTTCAGCGCCTGGGGGTCGGGTATCTTGTCGTATGCCTGCATTGTCCTCTGCAAAGAACCGTATGCATCTAACCGAGTTCCGCGCTCGGAAGAAGCAAGCAGCTTCACTATCGCGTCCAGCATCTCGGCGAAAGAGTTGTAATTGAGCGGGTTGGCAGCGTCTTCTGCGGGAGGTGTCTGCGTGCCGTCGGAGGGCTTCAGGATCGATTTGAGCGGCTTGGTGAGGCGGTTCTGGGGGAGGGGCTTCAGCGGTGAGCTACGCGTGGGTGTCCAGGACTGCGCGACTGCCTTGTTGGTGGGTATGTCGCATAGCTGCAGCTCGAAGTTGACTCTCTTCCGTGCGCTGGCAGAACTCGAGGGGATGTCGATGTCGGACGACGGCGATTGCTCTGGCGTGTTGGGCACTCTCTTCGCTGCTCGGAGCCTGGGTGGGATTGGCTTCTCGCCAAAGGGGTCTTGGAGGAATTGCACCGTCTCGTCGGCGGCTGTGTCTTCTTGGTCTTTGGGTGGAGTCGGAGGGCGCACGGAGAGAGATTCGAATTTGGACGACACCATGGCTATGCTGGGAACCCGCTAGCAAGAAAAGAGAATAAAAGCACAAGAAGACGCTGGCATCGCTCTGGTATGCGTGAGTGAATGTGTCGAGCGTGTGGAGGTGATCGACCATTCCGGTCTACAAGTCAAAGGTTGGTGTTGGCGACGCGTCTAGCGCGACGCTCCTCGTGCGCGTAAAGTGCTAACCTTAACCGCCATTCACTGGACGACGGGCACTCGAGCCAGCGCCCGCCCCCTGCGTCCGAAACATGTTTTGTTGTGCCAGTTTGATGTGCAGAAGTCCTTCAGCGCATATTATCTTGTTCTCTGATATGATGAGAACGAAGCAAAGGATCAACGTATTCCGTGTTTGGATGTTACTCTTATGACATGATGCTGCAACAGTATGTAAGAGCATCACACCAGATTGAATAACACCTGGGTATCTGTCTTTGAAAAGATGCAGGATCAAGGCATCCGTGAACAGACTATGGCTACTTGCTTTATGGCACCTGTTGTGGTTCGTTGCTTGTTGATGCGGACCCTTGAATGCGACAGTGATGCAGGTCCCACAATATGTAGTGGGGCTTTCCGAGCGCGAGCTTCCACCCCGAGTGACGTGATGCGCTCTGATCGTGTCCTGCAACACAACCGCCATGTTGTCGCAAAGAACGGGCAGAGGTCAGTACTACTGCGCAGGACTACCTTCCACGTGACTCATTACTAACGGTATGACAGCAAAGCTCGACGACGTCACCAGAATCCTTTCCGAGTTGAAAGCCGATCTGGACGCGAAGAAGCTGTCTACTCAGCGCATGTCTCCTACCCTATACACGCATGCGTTGCGCTGACTGGATGGATAGAAAAGCAACAGCTACTCGAACAGCTTAAAGTCTACGGTCGATCAGTCGAGAACTCCGATCCTATATTCACGGAAGATGTACGCTACACTTTGCGCAGAGCGATGGAAACGGCGTAGTGACCGTTACAGGGCCTTCGGACACTAGGACGCTATGCATTCGACGGAGAGACTACTGTCGCCTCACAAGAGGCTCTACGATGTATAGCCAACGCCCTTCTTCTCCAACCCAAGACGCGCCAGATACTCGTTGATCTAGGCCATGGCCCACACGCAGCGGAGATGTTGAAGGTACGCAGACGTCCAAGTAGCATCCACAGCTCTATACTAAAACCCCCCAGAGCGAAAGCATCGACAACGAGTTCCTCGCCTCCCGCATCCTCTTCCTCACAACCTACGACACAACCCTCGACTACGCTTCACTGGTCCGCTCCAACGCCCTAGCCTCCAGCATCAACGCCGCCATAACGCGCCATGCGCAACTATACTCCAAATCCGGACCAGCAGGCGCAAAAGGCCACAACCAACCCATGGAACTCATGGCCCTCGCCGAAACCCTCAAACTCGTCTTCAACATAATCCACTTCCACACCGACCTCAGCACCCACTTCACCCCCTCCATAGCCTGCGTCTTCAAGATCCTCGTCCGGCGCGGCGTCACCGAACCACCTTTGACAGTCCCAGCCCGCGAACTAGTCAACGTGCTCCTGCACCTAGATCTAGAGTGCGAAGAAGGCAAAAAGGCTGTTTTCCCGTCTTTCGAACCGAGAACAAACGCAAGACACCTAATCTGCATCCTGTCCCGCGCGCTGATCGCCTACCCACCCAAGGAACTCGATGATGCTGTTGCTCCCGTTCTAACGCTCATCCGCCGTATCTACGAATTCGCACCTGAAGACGTGAAAAAGACGATGGAGGAAATGCTCCTTCCCACAACCGAAGAACGCGATAAGCCGCTCGGGAAATCAAACACGCTTTCCTCTCGCTTGCTCAACTTGTCTACATCAGCAATGACACCCGCGCTCCGCGGATCAATCTCCTCGATGCTCTTTGAGCTCTCGCATAAAGACCCAGCGACGTTTGTTCACAACGTAGGCTATGGGTATGCGTCTGGATTCCTCATGTCGAATAATATTAGCATGCCGGAGGATTTGGTGAAAGCGAATGCGCCGGCGGGTGATGTCGAAGGGGGTATACCTGTGAACCCTATTACGGGGCAGAGATTGGATAGGGAAGAGCAGGTAGAGATGGAGCCTATGACCCAGGAGGAGAAGGAGAGGGAGGCTGAGAGGTTGTTTGTGTTGTTTGAGAGGTATGTACGAATGAGTCTTTGGCTTAGTATTTGATGCTGACTTTGAGACAGGTTGAAAGCGACGGGTGTGATGGACGTGCAGAATCCAGTTGAAGAGGCGTATCGATCGGGGAGGATTCAGGAGCTGCCGGATGATGAGTCGGATTAAATTCGGGCTGTGCTGTACATGGTCATTGGAGCAGAGCATGTCACGCATGCATAGATCTTTCCCTGATCCAAGGATGAATTATGAGTTGATGATATTGAAAGATAAATAGAGAAGAACTACCATACATGTGCCAAGTTGCCCGGTTTCCCCCACTCCGCCATTTTTGCTATAAGATGTCGAAATTGTCAAAAATGATATGAGATATTGCTCCGACGCCGTGGAAATGCCCTCGTAGAACGGTAAGAAAAATCAAGGGTTATTCGCGAGATGAATATGTATCGACCCGGGAAGATGGTTCGTGGTACAAGGAACGCTTTCTGAGAAGCCGTTTAGAGATATATGTCAGAAATGTGCTGATGATATGTTGAAATTGTTGCTGACCAGTAGAACAGCTTGCGCGGGCACCTCATCGGCTGTCAGGTTTCGTAAGGTGGTGAGGCCGACTTCGAGTAGTTTGGATAGTTGCGATAGCCGACATCATTCCGATGATATCGGTCATCCGCGGGACGAGGATACGCGGCGGGAATCTCGATGCTGGGCAAAAACCCCGTCCCGTTCTCGTTGCTATACTCGCTGATCCAGAATGGGCTGAGAAGCCGCTTCAGGGTCGCAGCAATGAGACTGCCGAGGTAGGCATTGATGTGGCACACCGGGTAGGCGGCGAGCCAGAGTAAAAGGACGATGCCCGCGCCTTTCTGCCAAGATGACATGCCTGCGACAGTCGCAAGAGGTTGGTCGTGGATCTTTGCGACGCGGGAGGGGAGATCGCCGAGCCAGTCAAAGATACCGCATGTGTGTAGGAGGAAAGCGGAACTGCAAGCGCCGGCAGTGTAGGCGGCAAGTCTTGTGTTGAGCTTGTACAGGACAGTGAAGATGAATAGTGTACCGACCATGGCTATGAAGCTGCGGACGAGTAGTGTGACAAGTGCTGGTATCGCACTTAGGAAAGCGAAACCTTCAGCAATGTGCTCCGTTTGCGTCTCGAAGATGTCCAGACGTTGCGCAATACTATGGACTGTAGAAAGAGAGCGATCTGCGATATCGTTGGTTCGATTGATGGTATCCTGAGTGACGCCCATATAGCCTGCCAGAACGGTATAGCTGTCGACCTGAGCCTCGTGATTGGACTGGATGCTCATCCTGGCTAGATCATGGAATTGTTGGAGTTCGCCAGTGAAGTGTTTTGCAAGCTGTGAACTTTCAAACATCAACTCTTGCGAAAAATCCTGCATCTTCTCATGGATCTGATCAATCTCGTTGCTCTGACTCTCGGCCAGAGCTGTAATGAGATCCGAGATTGACACCTCCATGAAAGTACGGAACTTGTCGTCAAGCGCTCCCACAGTGGCAACAGCCTTCTCTTGAACAGCTTGGATGTCCTCTTTGAGCTGCTGATGAGAATCGCGAGCTTCCTCGGAATAGTGCCTCTGCTCGCGGATCAACGACTCATACTCTTCGGTCGTCTTTTGCATGTTCGATGTCACATCGCCCAGCACCTGGGTCAGGTTCTTGAATATCTCAAGGTGGTTTTCTCGCTCGATGACATCTCTGCTGGCTTGACACATGACCACTGCATTCTGGCGGGCGTTGCTGAACGATGTCCAGTACTGTGGTGTCGATTGAAGGCTCTTGAGGCATTGGGTATATTGGTACTCTTTGAAGTTGGGGTAGCATTGCTTGTCGCTAGGAGCTTCCGGCCGGGCGTGCCACCAGCTACCGCCTTTATCGCAATGTCTTGATGCCGGCACCAGGATGTCGCAATTTGCCGGTGGTGTGGGGTTGACTGGCTGGGCACTGAGAAGTTCGCACACAGCTAGCTTGGCCGCGTACTCGGTTTTGACGTTATCCAAGTACGCTTCCGGGCGAGATTTGGCGAAGTCCGGTGCATGTTCCAATAGTTTGCACTCGTTCATCAAGTGAGAAGCAGCCATGCGAGTGCATGTGGGCGCGGTCTGCATTGACACCACGAAATCGACTGCTTGTGTTATCACTTTGTGGTTCCTGGATGTTGTGTACTGGAACAAGGAGTCCACGTTGACTGTTGAAGCTGCATGTGCCGGCGGGGAGTGGTAATGAGAGGACACTGTAGGTAGGAGAAACAGCCCCAACGTGATCAGCTTCGCCTTGCTAAGTCCATGTTGAAGTTTCATGTGAGCGATGCGCTGGTGAGCAGTCAGGGTCATCGAAAGCACGGCACGGAAAGCTGGCGAGATAGAGCAGGAGCCACGGAGTAGAAGAAAGTAGAGAAAATGAAGAAGCCGAGAGATCAATGATGGTAAGATCTCTATTAGTATCGACCATGTGAGTTCACGATATGGTAAGAGAGCGGAGAAGACGCAGCGTTGGAGAGCCTGAAGCATGACGCCTGCCGCGACAGGAAGGTGAGGTCAAATCTGGGGTGAGAGCACGCGCTGTTAGTCGACGATCAAAAGGCACATGCCTGGGTGAGAGGACGGTCAGTCGAAGGTATCAAGCGTCGAATTTCGACGCTGTATCGTGCAGCATCATCCCCAGGGGGGAGTGATGATGGCTGGAGTGTTGTGGTATTGAGGGGTGTTCGTGGGGGAAAGCGCGACCGCCCAACCAATCAGAGACGTAGATGACGCGCTATCACGAGACCGGATGAGCTAGCAGCGAGTTGGAGATGCCGAAAACTCTCGCGATAATCATTGCCGGCATCTAATCAACATGTTCGCCCCAGCACGACGGCGGTGCGCCCAAAGCTTCGCAAAGGCCTCGAGCCAGAGCAGCGACTCAATACCGACTTTCCTGCTGCCCGTATTTTCCAGGCCCGCGCCGACCAGGACCTTTACCTCGACGGCATCATGTCAATCCAAGATCGGGTCTTTGCCGCTCTCAATACCCCAGGGAGTCACGTTCCAGGTGGTCGCACCGTCCGCTAAGGCGAGAAGTGCGAGAGTGCAGGCCATGTCTACAGTACACATCAAGGGACCACTGGGCGAGCTTTCAATGGCCATTCCCCCATACGTCAATATCAACCAGGACCCGGCATTGGGCGGACCGACATTGACAATCGAAGACGCAAAAGATGCGAAACAAAAGGCAATGTGGGGTAAGAGCGCTGCAATCACCATGGGCTGCGCAATTCGCTGACTTACTTCCAGGCACCACCCGCGCATACCTCCAGAACCACATCCTCGGTGTCAGCGAAGGACACAGTGCGATTTTACGCTTCAACGGTGTCGGTTACCGTGCATCGGTAGAAGACTCCGCGACGACCGTAAAGTCCGAATTCCCCGGCCAGAAGTTCGTCAATTTGAAGGTCGGATACACACATCCAGTCGAACTGGCCATACCAAAGGGCGTCACTGCGAGCACACCGCAGCCGACACGTTTACTGCTAGAGGGACCGGAGAAGGAGGTGGTCATGCAGTTCGCGGCCAAGATAAGGAGTTGGAGGGTACCAGAACCGTACAAGGGCAAGGGTATTTTCGTCAACGGAGAGACTATCAAGCTCAAGAACAAGAGAGTGGGCGGCAAGTGAGCGTTGATGGTGATTTGGTGGATGTATACTACATGTATTGGCGCTGTACCACGATGATTGGTCGAACCAGCATTATATCGAGCTTAGGTGCATCTTGCGCACGAAGAAATACACAACACGCGTCCGAAAGGCGCAGCGATCCAGGCACAAAACTTGATGACCCATTGCTTTGGTCTTTTTTTGGTTCGAGCGGCTGCGGTCAACATACGTTGCAACATCCAGTACCACACTTCGGTAATGCTGCTGCCTAAGGACAGCTGGTAAGAGCCCGTGCTCACTAAGCGGAGAACAGCATCGAGGCACTCTTTCATGTATACTGACTTTCATTCCCCACACTAGAGGCCGGCATCAGCACATCGCCATTTTTACATCATGTCGGCGTCGCAGGCCCCCACCTGCCATTTTCTACGCATCCCCCGGGAACTTCGCGACCAGATCTACGAGCTATGCCTTACGAGCGACGAGGGATACCATCACCACGCCGAGACGAATACACTACGATATCCCGATGGCACAGCTATCAACCTCGGACTCCTGTATACTTGCAAGCAAGTCGCAGCGGAGGCAGCAGAACTCACTTTGAGTACAAACACGATTACATTCAAAACTCACATCGCACGTGTTGCAGGGGAGGAGGGCTTTCTTGGACATTCGCTGATCTCTATGGAAACCTATCTCAGGCGCATGTTAAGCGAACTGAATGAGTCGATGCAAGAGGCCGCTGTTACAGCACTTGATATTTACGGTAAAACGATCCTCAGACCCTTGCGCAAGCACACTACTCGAACCAGTTTTGGCTAACCACGCTTCCCAGCTACCGAGGGACTGGCAAGACATATTTCCAAACGGTACCCTCAAAGTTGCATTGGTGCGCAACTTCAATTGATGGTCCAAATGAAGGAACGATACCACGATTTGCCAGATACCACAGTACTCAAGCTCGAACCGACTCATATGGACCGCCAAGCTCTACAAGAAGCACTCCAGTATATATCTTCTCGTCATGGTCTTTCCAACTGGCTCACATCATGGAGTGTTTTTGGTTGGCCCCGTTCTTTCTGGGATTGGATCAACAATGTACGACACGAGGGGAGTCATGGACCACCGCCTGAACGCAGGAGTGCGCTTGAGATCGCGAATTCAACAGTCTTTTCCACAGTATGGCTGCCTTGGACAACACCTACGACAGCTCAGATCAGGGAAATGAAACAGCACTTGGCGTTCCTGAAACTCAACAGGGGTGTCTTATGGCTGTACAATAAGGGAAGTTCTGATGAGGGAAGTTCTGATGATGGTGCAGAACTTCAATATTATGAATCCGCCGCCTCGCAGAGTATCCGCTTCCTCGACATGCTACAACAAAAACAGCGGTCCGGATTGCGTCGTTTGGTCATACGCGAAGATCGCAGAAGTTGTGCATCACCACGATGCCATGCGCACGGCCTCATTCCATACCTAAGAGACCTCCCCCGGTTACGCATTGACCATCATGTTGACATGTGGAGTGTTATGTAAGTCTGATATCGTAACTGGACATGGCCTCTTGCTGACGCACTACGGAAGCTTTCTCGACCTCTACGCGCTAATGAGCTGGATCTCTTCCATTACCTTGCGGACAGAAAGGCCGACCTGCGGGCTGTCCCGCGCTGCATACAAGACTATTGACTGGATCAACGAAGCGATGGACTTGCGACACGCAGGGATGCCACCATCTGCCTATTCCCTCCACCTTGAAGCAGATTCCGCTACCGCCCAGCGTGTTTGGAACGCTGTCAAATCGCTTGCAGCACTTGCTCTTGCCAATCAACGTCGCCATCACACAATCGAGGATTCTCCCGCCATCTCTACTGCTGCAGCTCCCAACGACTACGAGCTTGACTTTATTGGATGCCAAGAACGGCGCCTGGTTGCTTCTGTACGGCTCATCCTGTCTGGAGATCCCACAGTGCAGTTGTCTTGCCCCACAGGCACTCTGGAAGAGTTCGAAGAGGATGCTCACCGCATAGGCAGTGAGCTGAAAGACCAACCGAAAGACGCTTGGAAACTTTATGCTAAGAGTCTCGTCCAGGGCAACCTTGACACTTTGGACCATGATTTCGCGGCTCTAGAAGAGTTGTATTATGATCCCAATTTGTAGTGAGATGGGTATGGAGGTGAGAAGTCAATGTCTCGAAACTCGCTCCCATTACAGTGGCGGACGTCACGAATATAGCATAAGATATACCCATCTTCACGACACGGATGCAAGATATTGCCTAAGGGCCTTATGTCGCATACCACGATAGGTCATTAAAGTTAAAGACAACCCAAGCAGCAGATGACGATTTGATCCACCACGCCTTGATGGACGCATTTCTTCGTGACACCCAGATGACGATGTCTGATCTGCCGTTCAAAGTTGCTCCACTGACGATAGACGTTACTACCCTGCTCTCGCAATGAAAATGACGTGCGTGTCACAGCCGTGGAATGCTGAAACGTTGAACGCCCGCGCCACAGCCGGCGAACCTTGTGTGCAACCTTATGCGGGTGATTCGGTAGTGACGACCGCGAAAGTTGCCTCCAAACCATCGAATGCTGTGTAAATTCGATGCGTGAGGTCATTGATACCAATATGATCAAGACCTCGGGAGTGTCGCTGTTATAGATTTATGCGATGAGATCTTCTGAGGTTCTCTTCCGTGACTGTCCACCAGCTGCATGGCCGCGTGCAAGACTTGAGCCAATGAAAAAACGAGTCATCGCGGTGTTTCCCATTGCTCATGTCGTATGGGCCGAGGTATCCAGCTATCTTTCCAAATCCCATGAACGACGCTGCTCGCTAGACGGAGGAGAACCCTCCGATGACATTTGAAATCCACGACTTGCTAGGCTCCGACGTCGAGTACGATTACGTTGTACGTATTTGGACGCTGGGTAGTATCTGCTATGTAGTTCTAGGCTTCCGGAACGAGGTCCTGTTTAGCCTCTAGCTTGACGCCGTTGGGGTGATTCGAGAACTCGCCGTCGCGTCCGGCTCAAGTATGGTAGACGTCAATCGCCTCGCACGTGTCCATGGGCTACTGGACCGGTTCATTCGGAACTTTCGACTTCACCGTATGTATAATCATGCGATACTGCATTCGCGAGTATGTGAAGCGAAAGTTACCTAGGCCTCAACGGCAAGTCGACGCGACGGCAGACGGCGGAGAATATCACCTGGGCAGTGCGGGGTCGATCACCGCGAAGCCTGAAGCGATCCCCCATACATACATACTCCGGAGTACCAGATCCACAACACCACGCGCAGCCGGCCGTTCCCGCTTACCACACAGCATCATCCACGTGTGTGAAAGCGAATGCGAAGCTGCCGAAGTGTATATTGTGGTTTTCGATACACTAACACGGCGGCGTAGCGGCAAAACAAAGTGCGAACATGGCGATCGG